TAGTGTGTGGTGTGTAGCGTGTGGCGTGTAGTGTGTAGCGTGTAGTGTGTAGTGTGTAGCGTGTAGTGTCTGGTTTGTAGTGTGTAGCGTGTAGCGTGTAGTGTGTAGCGTGTAGTGTCTGGTTTGTAGCGTGTGGTGTGTAGTGTGTAGTGTGTGGTGTGTAGTGTGTGTGGTGTGTAGCGTGTAGTATGTGGTGTGTAGTGTGTAGCGTGTAGTGTGTAGTGTGTAGCGTGTAGTGTCTGGTTTGTAGTGTGTAGCGTGTAGTGTGTAGCTTGTAGTGTCTGGTTTGTAGCGTGTGGTGTGTAGTGTGTAGTGTGTGGTGTGTAGTGTGTGTGGTGTGTAGCGTGTAGTATGTGGTGTGTAGTGTGTAGCGTGTAGTGTGTAGTGTGCCAGTGAAGTGTCTTACAATGTGCTGCTAAACAAAACACCACAGATGCTTCTGTCAGTGTGAGTGAATGAGAAATAAGAAGCTCTGGACGCCTCCTGAGACGCTGCATGTGGACAGTCGAGAGGAGCAGCGATCTGTGCGCTAGACAGGAAACCGGAAACAGGAAACATTAGTTTCACAGCAGCCAGCTCTGTTCCTCAGACACATGGCTTTACAACAACACAACTCCGCCGCCGGACCCTTGCATGAACGTCCAGAATATTCCTGTAGATTCACACGCAGCAGTTTTCATTCTGGAAGGGTTTATAGCTTGTCTTGATGTTTTAGAATTTCATAAAAACAAACATTTCATGAACACTGACGCAACATCACATTAATATGGAGAGACAATGTATTAACACTGCCAGAATAGCAGATATCCATCACGGATACAAATATAGAAAAGTGAGCTGCAAGTTTTTGGACATGTTTTCATAATTTGGATTCTGATTTCATACAGTATCTTGTCATTCTGTTTATATCTCAAAATTGCAAAAAAAAAAAAAAAAAGCCAAAGTGCGAGATAAAAAGTCATAATTACCATTATTATTATTTTTTAATGTGTTGCATGAACCAGCTTGCATAGACAACCCCTTAAATGAAGATTAAACGTTTGCTTTACATTAAAACTGACAGTACATTGGCATTAGAGGAACGTTATAGCAACCTTATCATAACATTTACACTACTTTACCATCAGTACCACAATATAAAAGCACCAGTTTATTACATAGGCACAGCAATACATGACCATCAAACCAACACGAGCTTCAGATTGAAACGGCATTATGAATGAGGTTAGAATGGAGGATGATGATGATGATGGTCTGCTGTGTGTCCTCAGGTCGGACTGTGTGGATATCCTGACGCAGTGTGGTGATGGCAAGCGCTTTCTCGAGGGACAGACGCCCGAGCGCATCTGTGACCTGCTGTCGGCCACGGACGACCCGGAGCGCTGCATCCCTCTCCACAGATACCTCAGTGAGTGTGCGCTCAGATCTGAGTCTGATCGATACAAGCTGTGCACTGATGTCCTCACGCTTCCCACAGCTCCCAGTCCCTTTGAGAACAGCATTGAAGAAGTCATCCACCCCTGCAACCCCAGCCCCTGTCCCAGCAGTCAGCTGTGTGAAGTCAACAGAAAGGGCTGCCACCCCGGACACGACTGCCTGCCCTACTTCTGTGTCCCCGGTAAACACTCCTGAACATCTTCACTTGTGAGCTGATCGAACGTGCATTTATTAGGAGGGTGTGTTCAGAATGGAGTAACAGAGTGCTGCTTACTTAAAGTACAGTTAATTCAGGACAATAGGGCCACATTTTGACATTGAGGTGACTGCCGTCAGTGTGTCTGAAATCACCTCATGTCAATTAGTATGCGAGCATAAACATTTGAGGTTGTAACATACTATTGTGTTGTCACATGACTTTACTGTATTGCATGTTTAATTCATTGATTCCAATGAAAAACCCATTTTGTTTAGGTTTTGCTTTTGTTTTGTTTTGCTGTGTTTTTTTGGTTTTAAAACATCTTATTGATAGTTTTGATCGTTCAATCAAATAACGAGTCAAAATGTTTTTTTTAAAGGTGTTTTAAAACTTTTTAGACAGTTTCCAATCAAATGAGTCAAAAAGTAGATTTAAAAGTTTTGCTTTTGTTTTGGTTTGGTTTCAGTTTGTTTTTTATGTAGTTTGGTTTAGTTTTGGATTTTTTATTTATTTTTTGGTATTAAAAGGTCTTTAAAATTTTTAGACAGTTTCTAATCAAATGAGTCAATGTAGATTTTAAAAGTTTTGTTTTGTTTGTTTTGTTTTGTTTTAAAACGTCTTTAACTTTTGATATTTTCCAATCAAGTAACGAATCAAAAAGTCGATTTTAAAAGTTATGTTTTGTCTTAAAACGTCTTAACTTTTGGTAGTTTCTGGTCAAATAATATGTTAAAAAGTAGTTTAACACTTTTGCTTTGTGTTTCATTTCGAAATGTTTTAACTTTTGATAGTCCAATGAAATTATGAGTCAAAAAGTAGATCCTAAAGAGTTTTTTTTTTGGTTTTAAAAGCTCTTTTAAGACCGAGTCAAAAAGTAGATTTTAAAACTTTTGTTTGGTTTCAGGTTTTTTGTTTGAAATGTTTTAACTCTTGATACTCCGATCAAATAATGAGTCAAGAAGTAGCTTCATGACACCAGAAAATGAAGGTCGAGCGAACTGCATTGTGGGATACCGGCGTGGTGTTCTCTGTTGTAAACTGCGCATCCGTGTGTTGTATGCATGCAGGACACTGACACACAGTGCACACAGTACTCACAGCAGTATGCATGCTGTGCACAGTAAGAGCAGGACACCTGTATGTCAGAGAAGTGCATTAGGATTGTGTTTTCCTCGTGTCTCTAAGGCTGTAAGCTGGGGGAAGCGTCGGAGTTCCTGGTGCCGCTGGACAGCCGGATCCAGGTGCCCACCAGGAGCGGTCAGGTGGGCTGTTACGAGGTGTGCACCTGCGGTCAGAGCGGCCGTCTGGAGAACTGCGCTGAAATGCCCTGCTTCGACACCAGCAAGACCTGCCTCTCGGGAGGACAGCGCAAGAGTGAGAGCTCATATCTGCATGCAGCAATCACTAGCACTTGCTGCTTGAATGATGTGTATTTCACATAGTATCCGTGTGTAACAGACACCTGCATTTGTTTGCTTTTATTTAATTAACTATTATCACTAGCTTAACATAAAGACAAATAAGGCAAAATACTGAGCCAATGGATGTTTTTTTAAGTGGACGCTGCCATCTATTGGTGGAAGGATGCATTAATAGCAGCAGAAATCTGTATTCGCAGTGGAGGGATATTTAGAATGGTTTGCAGTACGTTTTAAACAACACAAACAATCAAACAGGAAATATATCATTAAAAAAAACTTGTCCCTTTTAGACTTGCACTCTATTGATTTACTAACTGTTTTCTTTTTATTTATTACATAATTACGCGTGTACTGAATTAAGCTAACCTAAGATAAAAAAAACTTTTAGAATTAGAACGAATGCATATCATTAGTGAACATATTTTCCTTTTTTCTCTAGTGTTTATTAGTATGTGTTTTAGTAAGCAGCTGGTTTGTATGCCTGTCGGTTTGAACCTGAATGAGTTTATTGCTTTTTCTTTCATGTTTATTTTTACTCTGCTTCTAAAGCGCTCGCCAGCTTGGGTTCATTGGAGACAGATGTGCTGTGCTTTATAGTCGCGTCTGATCTCAGAGATCTGTTCTTTCGGAAACTAAACGTATAGTATGCACTGATCTATATATAATGTCTCCGAGACGCTTCGAGAAACCTCCTGCGAAGCTCCAGAGAAACTCTGCTCAAGTGCACCGAGAGCAAAAGCTGCTTTAAACACAAAGATGCTCAAATGATGATTTCATTTAGTTAATAAAGAAAATCTTTACGTTTAACAGCACTGGAGCTTTGCAGGAGGTTTCTGGAAGCATCTCGGAGACACAGTTCTTCTGGATTGAGTCTGTCTCAGTTTCTTCATGTGACTCCAGACAGACTGATGAGGGTCAGATCAGAGCTCTGAGTGCAGCACTAACATATATCTCACTGCATTATTACAGTTAATGGAAAAATAGATGTTTGGAAATGTAAGCTGATATTTCCTCCAGACACACTACAGCAAAAGATAGAAATAACTGACTTAAAACCATTTCATCTGCTGAGAATACTAGTGTTGAATGATTTTGTCCAGCGCTGTATGTCCGGCAGGAGTGAATGTTTTGTTGGTGATGGTCTCGTATGCAGGTCACGGTGTGTCGTTCCGGCTCGACTGTCAGCCCTGCTCCTGCTTCGCCGGTGAAAGCATCTGCTCGTCTCGTCAGTGTGTGCGCTCCGACGGCTCGGACGAGGACAGACGGCTCTTCACAGGTCTGTGCTTCACCATCAGCTCCACTGCTGTTTATGAGCCGTTTCATCCACACCAGTAAACAATGAACAACAACCCTCACTTTTCATCTCACACTTCTGACTTTTTAGGTAATTGCAACTTTTCATAACAGAATTGCAAGATATAAACACAGAACGGCAAGAAAACAGTCAGAAATGTGAGATATAAATTCAGAACTTTAAGATATATTCTCGAAAATGCAAGAGAAACGTCAGAATTCTGAGCTGCGAGATATGAATTCAGACTTTTCTCTTGCAAATCTTGAGTTTGCAGCTTACAGTTCCGACCTTTGCAGTTCTGAAAAAATAAAAGATAAAAAGTTGCAGTTACCGTTTCTTTTATTTTTTATTCTGTGGTTGAGTCAAAAAAAGTAATTATGAGATATAAACTCAGAATTGCAAGTAAAAAATGATACTTTTTAGGTATTTGTGACTTTTTTCCTCCCAGTTTTGAAGAAAAAAACTCCTATGAACTCAGAATGCTGACTGTAACCTCACTATTCCTGTAATTCTGACGTTTGCAGTTCTGAAAAAAGTCTGAATTGTGAGATAAAAAGTTGCAATTACCATTTTCATAATTTTATTTATTTATTTATATTTTTTGGTGGAAAAGCACTTCCATATATGTTAGACTTCACAGTAATTTCTACCAATTTTTTTTTTAAATAACAGGCAAAAACTGAAAATGTAAATAAATAAACAAATAAATAACATATTGAAGTAGATCAATAAAACAACTATATTTTATTATTGACTAAACAGAACAATTTTTTCAAGACCTTTTTAAATGAGTAAAACATTTGTCATTTGTAAATCAGTTGGGTGTTTGTGACTAGTTGTGTTTGGTGTGGTTTCTCTCTCAGGGCTTCCCTGCAGCTGCGCCGATCATTTCGTGCCGGTTTGTGCTCGCAACGGACGCACATATCCCAGCGCTTGTGTGGCGCGCTGCGTCGGCTTCAAGGACAACCAGTTTGTGTTCGGCTCCTGCAGGAGCATCAACCCCTGCTCCCCGAACCCCTGCCAGAGGAGCCAGAGGTACACACTCAAACACACACACACTCTCTCACACACACACACACACACACACACACTCTCACTCTCACACGCACACACTCACTCACTCTCACTCTCACACGCGCACACACACACACACACACTCTCTCTCACACTAACACACACACTCTCTCTCACACACACACTAACACACACACACACACAAACACACTCTCACACACACACACTCTCACACAAACACACACACACACACACACACACACACACACACACTCACTCTCACACACACGCACACACACACACACACACACACACACACACACATCTCATTCAGTCTTGTGGTCGAGCAGTTCTAGTGTTATTGTGTGTAAGTGTGAACCCGGGAGCTCAGTCTGTCTGGAGGAGTGTGTCCAGGGCTGCTCTGTCTCTGATTGTTTGTTCAGGTGTCACACAGTTTCCTTGTGTTTGTGTGACCCTTCCTCTGAAGAGATCTTACATCACATCTAACCCCAGACATCCAGCACATGTGAACGGTGATGAAGCCAGGGAAACTCCATCCACATCAGCATAGTTTGATTTTAGAATTGATTAGTGTGATGCATCAAACCAATATGCAGTTATTAGAGCAACAAGAGGCTGAGCATCACAGAGAGTATAAGAAGAGAAAGGGACAATATGACAAAACACACAGATCTTTGATAAATTATAATTGATAATAGTACAACTTAATAGATAGAAATAAAACTAATAAAATAATATTTTTTGTCAATGGAATATTAATATTATAATCTGACCTATAATCAGCCTAGAATTAAATTGCTGGTTCGTCTGGCCAGAGGAGAACGGCACACTATTTCCCTGTTTAATACTGCAAAGCTGCTTTGAGACAATCTGCTGTCTAACAGACATTTCTTGCTGGATGAAGGACCATCACCTTCAACTCAACCTGGCTAAGACAGAACTGCTTGTGGTTTCAACAAACCCACACAATTTCATCATCCAGTTAGGCTCAACAACCATAACTCCATCAAAAACAGCTAGAAACCTTGGAGTTGTGATTGATGATCAGCTGACTTTCTCAGACCACATTGCTAAAACTGCCCGGTCCTGCAGATTTGCTTTATACAACATTAGGAAGATCAGGCCCTTTCTTTCAGAACATGCTTCACGACTCCTTGTTCAAGCTCTTGTTCTGTCCAGGCTGGACTATTGCAATGCTCTCTTGGCAGGTCTTCCAGCCACTTCTATCAAACCTCTACAATTAATCCAGAACGCGGCAGGAAGATTAATCTTTAATGAGCCGAAAAGAACGCACGTCACTCCTCTGTTCATCAATCTGCACTGGCTACCAGTAGCTGCTCGCATTAAATTCAAGGCATTAATGTTTGCCTACAAAACCAGCACTGGCTCTGCACCCCTTTACCTAAATTCATTAATTCAGAGTCATGTGCCTCTAGAAGCTTGCGTTCTGCAAGTGAACGGCGCTTTATTGTTAATCTCAAAGAAGCACAAAATCACTTTCACTGACTTCTACATTAACTGTTCCCTCCTGGTGGAGTGACCTGCCCAACTCAATCCCAGCAGCTGAGCCTTAACCATCTTCAAGAAACCACTAAAAACACATCTGTTCCATCTTTATTTGACCCTCTAACTCTAACACTCTCTATTCTAATTCTATTCTTAAAAAAAACAAAAAACACTTGTCCCTTTTAGACTTGCACTCTATTAATTTGCTGCTTGTTTTCTTTATAAAAAAAATTATAATAATAACACTAGCGTTCTAATTTTTTCTATTCTATCTGTTTTCTTTTTATTTATTATATAATTTTAAAAAACCTTGCTATGTGTGCTGCGTTAAGCTAACTGAGGCTTGTTATAGCAGTTGTATATCATTGCTCTCTTGTTGTTTTGAAACCTTCTGTTGTCCTCATTTGTAAGTCGCTTTGGATAAAAGCATCTGCTAAATTACTAAATGTAAATGTAATGTAAATGTAAACTATGATAAGGCGCATTTAATTACAGATGATAAAATATGTATAAAAATACACATCTAAATACAAACATAGCAAGTGTAAATAATATGCTTGTCTATTGTATATTTCTTTCTATATTTTTATTACTTTATTGTATTATATTTATTTATTTTGTTATATTTATATGATTTGTTATATTCACATTATTATATTAAATAATTTTATTATATTTATATTAATATATTTAATTATTGTGATATATTGTATTTTGATTATTATAATACATTAGTCATTTTTATATATATATATACACTACCGTTCAAAAGTTTGGGATCAGTAAGATTTTTAATATTTTTTACCGAAGTTTCTTGTGCTCATTAAGGCTGTATTTATTTGATCAAAAATACAGAAATAAACCCTGTTATTTTGTGAAATATTATTGTAATGTAAAACAGCTGTGTTCTGTGTGAATATGTGTTAAACTGTACTGTATTTCTGTGATGCTGCTTCATGTTTTTTGGAACCTGTGATACTTTTTTCAGGATTCTTTTATGAATATAAATTAAAAAAACAGCATTTATTCAAAATGGAAATCTTGTGTTACAATACACACTACCGTTCAAAAGTTTGGAGTCAGTCATTTTTTTCTGTCTTTTTTTGAAAGTAATGAATACTTTTATTCTGCAAGGATGTGTTAAATGGATAAAAAGTGATAGTAAAGACTCATATTGTTAGAAAAGATTTTAATTTTAAATAAATGCTGTTCTTTTTAACCTTTTTTTCATAAAAGAATCCGCCCCCCCAAAAAACATGAAACTGTTTCCAGCACTGATAATACAGTTTTTCTCGACTGCTAGATAGTAAAGACTCATATTGTTAGAAAAGATTTTAATTTTAAATAAATGCTGTTCTTTTTAACCTTTTTTTCATAAAAGAATCCCCCCCCCCCAAAAAACATGAAACTGTTTCCAGCACTGATAATACAGTTTTTCTCGACTGCTAGCACACTATAACTGATTCATTTGGCCCAATTTTCCAAACCATTCGTACAGTTCTCCAAACAAAGACATTTCACCTGTTTGCACACACGCTCCAATCTGCTCAGTGTTTTCAGCTAAACTCTACACAAAAACGCCATCATTTGGCGCAGTTTTAACCATGTTCTCATTCAGAAAACACAAACACACAATATAATTAACTCAAGCATCAACAAATGAACTCAAACAGCGCACATTTATCCCTGTGTGAACATTAAGCAGCAAAACTGATGACAAACCAGTCAGAATCTCGGGCTGATATGAACAGGAGCACAAGTGATTGTGTTTAGGAAAATGAATCCTGGTAGTGGAAGACAAAAGAGGAAGAGGAAGGGAAAATAAAAATGAAGGTGATGAGGTCAAAGGTCATTTGTTCCTGATGAAATACACAGCAGTGTAGTTGAGCATGCTCTTCTGCATGGACTGACCGTGAGGGGAGTTAGCCTACAGCTCATCGTCAGGGTTTCAGCACTACTGACACATGCAGTATAATTACAGTACATAGCAGCAGTACTGCAGAAGAGAGAGCTGTCATTCATCTATGTACAGTAAATACTCTAGCACAGGTTATACACCCTCAAACTCATTACTGTTGAACTGATTTGTAGCCAAGCATGTACTGTATTTGTGCAGAACTGAGAGACGGCTGTCTAGGGCAGGCAGAGGAGTCTTTTATCAGAAGACTTAGAAACTGCTGTAACTAATTTAGGATAATACCAATACTGTAATGCAGATTGGCAGAGGATGCTGAATGAATGAATGAACTTACTGTAATTATTTATTCATTTCTGTAAAGTAACTGACAGTATATTCCAATGTGTGTTTACTGTATATTCAGTTATTTGGTCTTTGAACTTTTCTCTTGTAGTGCTTTTCAAGATCTCATGACAGTAAACTTTTCTGAAGGTTTATTGCTGAATTGTACTGTATCTGCACCCCACTATTTATGTTGTATACTGTAACAGTGACTGACTTGCAAAAGGATTTGTTTCCCAAAAGCAGGATTTAGTAACAGTGTGTTGAACTGGTCTCTCTAGTGTTCTCTAGACAGTGCAGTAGTGTGTATTTGACAGGTTTGTGTGTCATCTGAGGCCAAACGTTGAGTCTGACAAAAGAGAACGTTTTTGACTAAACTATTTGATTTTGTGTTTATAGTTGTGAGAAAATGGTGAATTGCTTCATGAATTGTGTGCTAGCAATCGAGAAAAACTGTAAATCAGCATATTATACTGATTTCTGAAGATCATGTGACACTGAAGACTGGAGGAATGATGCTGAAAATACAGCTGCACATCACAGAAATACATTACAGTTTAACAGAGATTCACAGAGAAAACCAATATTAGAAATTGAAATAATATCTCACAATCTTACAGTGTTTTTCTGTATTTTTGATCAAATAAATGTTAAATCAAATAATGTTCCTGTGGCTCAGTGGTAGAGAAGTGCAATAGGTCGTGGGTTCTATTCTCAGGGAACACACACTGATAAAAATGTATAGCCTGAATGCACTGTAAGTCACTTTGGATAAAAGCGTCTGCTAAATGCATACGTTTAATTTAATAAATGCAGCCTTGATGAGCACATGAGATTCCATTAAAAAACATAAAATTTTTTACTGATCCCAAAGTTTTGAATGGCAGTGTAAATATTATTATTATGGTGTTATATTCCATTTTATTGCTTGGTTTCTATGTATGTCTGTACTTTCTGGAAGCTCCTGTCACCAAAGAGAAATTCACAAATTGTGTGAGTGTGTGTGTGTGTGTGTGTGTGTGTGTGTGTGTGAGTGAGTG